GGGGGGGGGGAAGTATTAAGGTTTGTAATCATGGCCTTGTGCTTGCTTGGCTGGTGCTCTACCACTTGAGCCATGCTTCAAGGCCTTCTTTTTGCTACCTGTTTTGGAGATGGTTATTTTCAGAAGGCCTCATACCTGGATCCTCAGATCTCATCCTCCTGAGTGGTTAGGATTACAGGCATGAGCTGCTTGTTTTTGGTCCAGTTTAACCATTTTCACTGTGTATTCCAGTGACATCAGTGCATTCACCTTGCCAGGCAGCCCTCACCGCTGATCCCCACAGAACATTTCCCATCTTAACCAGACCCATTCAGCAGCAATTTCTCTTTTCCCCTCCCTTTGGCCTCTGGTAGCTCCCTTTCCACTTTCTGTGTCAGTGAACTAGGCTCCTCTGGGTTCCTCACACAGGCAGAATTGTGAGGCAATCACCTGCTTGTGCCTGCCTTGCTCTACGTGGCACCATGTCCTCATGGGTCATCTACATTGTAACCTGTCAGAATGGCCTTTTTAAAGGCTAATATTCCACTGGACGGACCTACTGCCTTTCATTTATTCATTCACCCCTGCTGATGAGTAGTTAGCTTCCTTCTGCCTTTTGGCTATTATGACTAATACTGCTATGAAGGTGGGTGTGCAAATTAACTGTCGCAGTTGCTGAATATTGCATGGATGCACACACATATAATTGTATATGTATATTCATTTCTAATATATGCATTTATTTATGTGCATATATATATATATGTATGTATACCCAATTACTTTCTAGGAAATATCAAAAGCCATCAAAGCATGCTTTGAGATTCAGATAGAAATATGGTTCATCACAGAACTGATTTCCAGAGATCTGATGATGTCAATTTAGGGTCCCCACCAGGCCTGGGTCTTTTAGTTTTGGGTGGGGTGGGGTGAGCGGCTGTCCTCTTGACCTGCCTCCATCCTGTCCTTGTTGACAGCCCAACACGGAGGGCCTCTGGGAGCTGGTAACCGGAGGGGTCTTCTACTGCTTGGGCATGGTGTTCTTCAAGAGCGACGGAAGGATCCCCTTTGCCCATGCCATCTGGCATCTCTTTGTGGCATTTGGTGCTGGCACCCACTACTATGCCATCTGGAGGTACCTCTACCTGCCCAGCACCCTGCAGACCAAGGTGTCCAAATGAAGCAGCCCACACTCCATGGAGCAGCGCATCATGGCGGTTAGCTTCGAATGCTAGCCTAGAGTATAGTGTTGACACCTGTCCTCCCTTCCCTGGGTAGAGTTCTTGAGGGGTCTGAGGTCCCTTCTGGTGACAGCCAGATCACCCCAGGAGTCCCCATGGGAAAAGCCAGCATTTAGTCATTTCTGTTGGGGAGACGTTAACCTTGTAGTGTTTCTACTTTAGACAAGTGTTTCATAATTCAACCAATCTTAACATCTCCAGAAAAGGGCACATTGAGAATGATGGGCCAAGGGGTCCTGAGAAACCTGGCAAGGGATCTGGTACACTGTGTACAGCTGGATCCTAGAGCTTCTGTCTCTACGGCCAAAAGTCCTGACTGGGGGGACTGTCCTGTCAGGAGAGATGGGGGACTGGGGATGTCCATGACCTTGGCAGACATCACCAATCAATTACAGCAGGTATGTGGTGTCAGAATTCTTTCAACACAGCACCATGGGCAGCCACTACCAATCAATCGCATGCTCATGATGGAACCTCTAGCCTGTTTAAGCTTGGTGTGTGAAACAGAATCAAGGCCAGAGCAGTTAAAAGTTGCCATGCTGGGAAGCATGCGTACTCTAGACACTAGTGCCCTCCCCCACTCCTCTTCCCTCTTGGGAAGGCTCCTGGAGTGAACACGTTGGGGGCAGATGAGAGAAATGGAAGGATACACCCAGAGAGAAACGGAAGGACACACCCAGGCAGCTGGAAGGAGGGTGCCACTGCTCATCCATTTCTTCTCATCCCCCCAAATCCAGAGACATAACAGAGCTACACGTTCACCAGAGCACCACGTAGCCCCTCGGACTTGCTCTCCGGGGCTACGTGCCAGCATTTGGACTGTCACTTGGTGCCAAGCAGTGGCTCTGAGAGGCCACTCAGGTGGGCCCAGGCGTGAGGCCTCCACCTCAACTAGACTTCTGCCTGGGCAGAGCATCCAGGTCCTTCAACCTCTGAAGTCCCCATTGCTCAGCTGTGTGGCTGCCAGGTGCCTGTCCTCACCGGCTTCTGTGGCCAGGCCAGCCTTCTGCCCAGTGCCTCCTGGACAGTTACTGGACTGGGAATGGCTGGCTGAGCTCGGGGGTCTGACCTGACATCTTGGAATTACTGGGTAAAAAGTCTGACCTGTGTTGGAAGGCCTTTATTCCATGCTTCCCAGCCACACGGGGGTGAGTGAGGGTGGGCCAAGACAGGGTGCCTTATACTTCCTTCTAGCACATTCCAGGGCATTCTGGGGCTCAGCTCCCGGAATCCCGCATGTCCAAGCCAGTATTCTATTAAAAGTTCAACACATTCCTCAGACAGATGACTTGTGAGCTGAAACAGTTTGGGGCTGGATTTTTTTCCACCTGCCTCTTTGTGTGTGTGTGTGTGTGTGTGTGTGTGTGTGTGTGCATGTGAGGGCGCCCGTGCATGCACACATGCACGTGCTCTCGTTCACCTGCATGCTGTAGCCATACACAGTGGGCTCGCCCCAGAAGTTTCCCCCAGCTGGGGCTGGAAATGAGAGGGCCAGGGAGGAGCCGGAGGTGGGCAGTAGGGGAATGCCCACCCGTTCAGTGTAGGGACACCAAGATCTGTTCTCTCCTGGACCAGCAGATGGGGAAGTGGACAGTAGGAGTCTGGGCTGTTGTGTGGCAGGGTGAGGCACCATGCAAGGACAAAATCATCAGCATGCTAGTATGGCTAGTCAGTTTCCCAGAATAGTCCCAGATGCCTGGGGCACTGGTGTCACATTTTAGTGGCCCTGACTGTGTTCCAGCACCTGACAGCTGATGTGCACATCCCCACAACAGCCACCTGCATGCCCCCACCTCAAGGTACCATCATCCCTTCATCTACCCAACTCCTATACATCCTTCAAAACCCAGCTCAGCATTGAGGAGCCTCTGTCCTTTGTCTGATTTGGGGGCACCCCCTCTGCTTCCCAGTGCTCCCTATGCTTGGATCCCAGTCTACCCATCATCCAGGCACTTGCACCTGCTCCAGGAAGGAATACTTATCAAAGAGTGTGTGTGTGCAGGTTCCTGACCCCTGGGAACCTAAGTGCTGTAATTAGTTGCATTAACTGTGCATGTGGGATGAAAATCCTGGCCAGGAATGTGACGCTTTCCAGAAGAGTCAACCCAAGGAATGAATCTCTCATGGTGGAATTTCCAACTGTGGGCTGATGATGACACTGGAGTGTGACCTCTAGATCCTTTCTCTTCCTCAGCCTTCCCTCCCCCGAAATGAGTTTCCCAGTGCCTCCCCCCGTCCCAAGTCCTGGACCTCCTTCCAGTGCACCACAAATAGCACAGGGAAAGAAAAATTCCTGAGGCCAATCCCTCCAGTAGGAGGGGTGAGGGGCCCCCCAGGAACATTCTGGGCTGTGCAGCGTGGGGGTGGGGGTGAGGGAGGCAGAATGTGCAACCCAGGCCTTCCAGCAGCGGTGTGGCCATGCCCCAGGGAGCCAGGGAGACGGCCAGCAGCCATCCGGGCACTTCCCTGGGATGTCTGATTCCCCAGAACCCAGCTGGATTCTCCCGTCTGCCTTTGCATTCAGTCTGGTGCAAATGATCCCACATGAGGAGGATGCCAGGACACTTTGCTGCACCTGTGTGAAAGAATGGGGGTGGGGGTGGGGACAAGTTAGCTCTATGGACCGTTCAAAAGGATGTTGGAGGGCTGGGAGTGGCGTGGCGTGCCTGTAGATCTTCACAAGCAAGCAGCCTCTACACCTACATTCTTGAACTTGTTCTTGCAACTTTCTCTGTGCAAAGAAGGCCCAAGGTGCGGCACACTCTTGCCACGCCTGGCAGGCTTTATAGGAAGGAACATGGGTCAGCTGGCCCTCTGTGTGTCACTATCTTCCAGACCTTTCCGATTAAGCCCCGTTCTAAGACACACACTGTGCACTGTGAATCCCCAGTTTATACAACCATGCCCCAAAATAGCTTGCGCTCTGGGCTCTGACATTTCAGATACTCAATGTACCTTATCTTATGTGATTCTATCCTTATCTTACACCATTTCAGCTACTGTAACAACGATACCTTAGGCTAGATGGCTTGAAGTCATCAAACATCCATTTTTCTCATAGTTCTGGAGAATAAAAGTTCCAGATCAAGGTGCTGGCAGGTTCAGGGTCTGATAAGGGCCACTCTGGTTCTTAACCTTGCCCTTAGTGACTTTGGGCTGGAGGTGAACCTGCTCTCTGCTAGCTTTGATCTCTCTGTTTCTCTCTGTGTCTCTGTCCGACTCTCCTCACGCCCCCCCTCCCCCCAACTCTCAACTTTTATGCCTCAGCCTTTGGAGTTCTGAGATTACAGGCACGTGTCACCATACCTGGCTCCTACAGAACTTCATTGATAGGGCTGTTGTCCCCACATGAGAGCCCAACCTAGGACCTCATCAACCCCAAAGGCCCTATGTCTTAATGCCATAACCCTGAGGTTAGTCCTGTGGGGACCCCAAACATTCAGCCCACACCACCCTCCAATCTTATTCTATCTGTTATGCTCTGTGTCATCTACCCTGTCGTTTTATGTTGTGTTTTTGTTTCTTTGCAACTCACTCATAGGGTTTTATGATGCATGAGTGAGCTTAAATCATAAATTCAGGAAACTGCTCTTGAGGGGACACTCGTGGAAAACCATTTCTGGCCTGGGTTAATAGTATTGGGTACAAATTTGCTGTAATTGGCAGGGGTTGGCATGAGGCAAACCTTGGGCAACTGGGGACAAGAAGGGAGAAAGAAACGAGAGGCTTGTAAGAATCGGATGATGCGAACCCCGGCTCCACTGAAAGGAATCCAGGACCAAGGTTTGGAGTCTTGTTTTGACAGTCACCCCATGATCTAGGTGGGAGGAGGAGGGGAGCATGGATCTTAGTACTGGGGTTCTTCGGGGCCTCTGGGGGAGGGGCATGTCTGAGAATGAGAGGGGTAGGCAGGAGAGAGAGAGAGAGAGAGACCATTTGAGAAAGGCTCAGCTTGGCCAGCGCTGCCCTGTCTTCATGGGCAGTGTCAAATTCTGGCCTCTGGCTTCCTGTAGAGTCCACTGTCACTATCCTCACGCATTCCAAATTTCTCTCAGGATTTTCCACTTCAGGGCAGGGACAGGCCCAGTTTCAGAAGGCCTTTCAGGAGGGAATGGCTGTCTGAATGTCTTTCCTAATCCCTTGTATGTGTCTGGGGACCAGTCCTGGGACTTGAACTCAGGACCTGGGCACTGTCCATGAGCTTTTTTGCTCATGGCTAGTGTTCTACCACTTGAGCCACACCTCCTCCACTTCTGGCCTTTTCTGGAGGTTAATTGGAAATAAGAGTCTCATGGACTTTCCTACTTGGGCTGGCTTCAAACCTTATCCCTCAGATATCAGCTTCCTGAGTAGCTAGGATGACAGACATAAGCCACCACCAGCACCCGGCTCCTAATCCCATCCTCCTCTTTTTTTTTTTTTAACAGAACCTCAAACCCCCTCTTTTTATTATTTATTTATTTATTGTCGGTCGTGGGGCTTGAACTCTGGGCTTGGGCGCTGTCCCTGCGCTCTTCAGCTCAAGGCGAGCGCTCTACTACTTGAGCCATAGCACCACTTCTGGTTTTCTAGTGGTTTATTGGAGATAAGAATCTCACGGACTTTCCTGCCTGGGCTGGCTTTGAACTTCGATCCTCAGATCTCAGCCTCCTGAGTAGCTAGAATTACAGGTGTGAGCCACCGGCGCCTGGCTAAACCCCTTCTTTTTAAATGGAACCGCAACACTCTACAGAACGGCATTAAGAGCATGCGTTGAGAACAATGTCCTGCTGGTTATCAGTCCCTTCCTGTGTTTGGAAAATTGCTTTTATATTAACCCAGTATTTGATAAACATTTGTATTAAGAAGAATGATGAGTGATGACCTTGCCGGTGGACATGAGTCTTCCCAAGGGGAGTAGGAAGTTTCAATAAACTCAAGATATCTCCCTCTAGTGGCTG